TTTTTAAGTATCTGCAATGGGCTTTCCAATATTCCAGTCTCTTTAGCTACTAAAGTCTCTTCAGTCACCTTCTCTCCTGGGAGCTGGGAAAGTACTTGAAGCTCATGGTGTGAACTACATTGTGAGTATGGGAGGCATAACTAGCTCTAAAGACTTAGAAAACACAGCATGAAAGTCTACTGTTAGAATAACAGACCACGGAGTGCTCCTCTCTAAATGGGATGGTTATAGAATACTCCTTCCCAGAAGGGGTTGGATCATCACAGAAGAGGAACTAAAATAGTCTAAGATCCAGAAGTAGTAGACACCTGGAGTGAAATAACATTCTTTAGATATGACAACACCATTGCACATCTGAACTCAAAGCAGCTGTGAGTGTATGCATAAGACACAGACAAGATCAAACCAGCTAGAATCTGAGCACGGATGCTCCTGTATGGATATGTAAATGCAGGCAGCATTAGTAGGACTCAGTGGATTTTTACAAAACCTCTATAAATTTGTGGGAGAAAAGTGGCCGAGGTTATAAGGAAGAAATTGGAGGGAATGGGAAATGCGTTTGATCACAACTTAGTATATGTATTATGAAATTCTCAAATAATAAAGTATTCAATTTTTAGGGTTCCTCAGTTAGGTAGGACATAGGAAAGTATAGTTACTATTTCCTGGAGAGAATAATGTCTGTCACTGAGATTTCTTTGTGTCATAAAAAGATACACCAAGTTATGAAAACATTATTTTTTATTATTTTCTTTCCCAAGGACAGTAATTCTGTAGTTGTTAGTTACTGTTTGTTCAGTGCTAGCATGTCTTCCCCCATCAAATACGCAGCTGCAGGGTGTTACTCCCAGGAGTGACACTATCGCAAATTGCCATCTGCTCTAAGGTAAGCTAATAGTGCAAGGTTAGCTCATCTTCTCTAAAGTGGCCGGCGAATCCTGGCAGTGTCGATCTTCTCATTTCAACAGGGCATAGGCTGCCACAGGACATGTGCTGCCAATAGCTGGAGCTGTGATAGTATAAGTATTAACAGTGATGATGAAAAAGCTGTATTAACTAAGCAATTGTTAATTTTCTGCATCTTACCAAACGCCTGGTAAAATGGCCAAAATTTTGATAGTATATGCATCAAAACACTAAGAAATTATTGTGTTAGTTTTATAGAAGATCATAGTAAGGCTCAGGAAAGTTGAGGAAGTTGCTCTGGTCACACAGTAAGTGGAGAACTAGGATATTTTTGAAGCAAAAGACCTATTTTAGGTAATAAATCCAGTGCATCTATTATCCCTCTACTATCATCTATCTATCTATCTATCTATCTATCTATCTATCTATCTATCTATCTATCCATCATCTATCTATCTATCTATCTATCTATCTATCTATCTATCTATCCATCCATCATCTATCTATCTATCTATCTATCTATCCATCCATCATCTATCTATCTGTCTATCTATCTATCTATCTATCTATCTATCTATCCATCTACCATCTATCTATCTATATATCTACCTACCTACCTATCTACCTACCTATCTTCATCGCCATCTATCTTGATATTGATTTTATTTTCTATAACAGTCTGCGTAATCAATGATATCTTTTATATAAATTGTCAAATTCTCAATTATCTTTATTCTCCATTTAATAGGTAAAAGTGTTCAAAAACACTCATTAAAAGCCATAAGGAAAATATTGTTTCATATGTATTCTATGATGTTACTGGAGTACTGAACATATGTTAATATCAATAGCTCTATGTAACACTTTTGGTACTTTTCATGTATGAGATATTGTATTCACTTAATATTTTAGCTAGCATTACTTAGAAAATGTCTCTTAAAACCAACAATAGGCATTTTATCTTTATTTTTAGTGATGCACATTCTCTGTTAACTATTCAAACTAAAATCATGAAAGTTGGCTTTCTTAAGGCATTTGAAATCATACAGTTAATATAGACAATTTGATTGCAATTGATAAGAAGTCATCACTAAATATTTATACTAGAATCAAGGGGAGAAGCATCCTGAGAGTGTTTTTTTTTATTATTGATATGTAGCCTGCCTCTACTGGGATATGGTCTTCGTGAAAAGTCATTTAGCCCATTTAACAAGAGAGCAAACCCATTAAAAATTTGCAAGCTCTTGGAAAACAAAATCCTGTATACTAATTAAGCCTATTAAGGAAATTACAGAGCACTATAAATGTTGCAAAAGTTGTATGGGGTTTGTCCTAGTACCAACGACAGAAAGCTAAGGAGTTCCCATTTTTCCAAATAGAGATAAAGAGTATGGGTGATTAATTTTAGCACTGTTGAGTTAATTTGCAGTGAGTTAATGGCAGAAAACCTTTCCACGGGCACAGAATAATGGCAGAAGATGGCTGTTTTACCACTCTGTGGTAATACAGCTGTTTGTCATTGCATGTTTCAGTCACTCAGGGAGAACAAAAGCCACCTGTTGGCAAGAAGATGGAAAGAGAAAAAGTTCTGTGAAATAATTTGTGATCTTCAACTGTAGTTGAGTCTCTGGGGTTTCCCTGTCTAGCCTGTAAAACTGGGACGTTTCTTAACTGCTGCCTTAGTACCTTTTGATGGGTGATCAAAACATTTTGACTTGTGTTTCAAAAGACAACTGGAGGCTTTCTAACTGGTAATAGGAATGTCAAATCTATACTCTGAAAGACACTGATTATTGTGTGGTCCTATTGGAAGCCATGCCATTTAAAAAACGTGGAAAATATAGGTGGAGGGCAATGAAACCTTAGGGAAAATGTGTATATGAATTTCCGAGAGTCTCTTTTCTTGTGCGTGACAATTTCTTAATCAATGCTTAAAATGGCTCAACAGAAAAGCTCCAATAGAAGCAGCTATTTCATACTTCTAGAGGAATGATTGAAATCCCCCCAAGAGCAGTCAGGAGCAGAAGTATTATAGTAGATCAGGACTCTGGTTCTAATACCCTAGTTTGATGCAATTACAATAAGGTAATCCATGATAATGCCAAATCCTCCCTGCCCCCCAATCTAGGTTGTCCAGTGATGTTTTAATTGTGTGTGATTTACAGTATCATACATTGTAAAAAAATAGATTTAATATTATTTATGAAATTACAGCAGATGTGCAAAGTCAGTCAGGGCAGCATAAGCATGAAGGAAGGGCACTGAACAGCATATGTGGTTGTCTATTAGAGTCTAACAGCGCTTTTGCTGGGGAGGGAAGCTATCAACAGAACTGCTGGGGGCTGCAGATTCTGGTGCACTGTTCACCTCCAGAGCTCATCACAGCAGAACAACTTACTTGCTTTGGTATTGCATTAGTGGTTGTCATCCCATTTAATGTGTTCCTATAGAAGTGTACACGCTTTAATTGGCATATGTCCCATGACAGAATAAAGTGGCGTATAAAGATGAAAAAGGAAATTAAACAAAATTAATGGCCTGTTTGAACCTCAAAAGCTCAAAGCTTCATGCCTCCTACTTACAAAGGCATAGCAAGTACAATTCTTAAGGCATTTTTACCCAGTTGTTGCACATATTTCTTGAAAGGGGGTGTTTTTTTAATGAAAACTATTTTATCTGAAAATAGATAGTTTAAAAAATGTGACATAAATTCTGCATGGATTTAATTTTTGTGTACTAAGCACTTCCATTCTTGTCTGTATTCAGATTGTCTTTCTCATTGAATTGTTTTATTTTTTATTGAAAATATTTTTCATGCAGTATATTCTGATCACACTCTGTTCCACCCTCATCTCCTTGCAGATCCTTCCCACCTATCCAACTCCATACCTTCTTTCTCTATATCCTTTTTTCTCCTTTCTCTACTTCTTTAGAAAGCAAACAGGCCAATCAAAATAAGCAAATCAGAATAAAATAGACATAGAAAAACAAAACCAAAGAAGAACTACATGAAATATACACATGAAAAAATACAAGCAGGCAAGCACAAGGCCCATAAAAAACACAAAACAGAAGCCATTAAAAGCAAACAAAAGACAAGTAAGATCAAAATGCCCAAACTAAGCCCTATGAGATAAAACATGTCTGAATATTCTGTTGTGTTCTTGTTGTGCTGGCCATATCCTGCTGGGCATGGAGCCCCCTTTAGGTGTGGTTTGTATACTCAGTGAGACTCCAGTGGAGAAATATTTTTCCTTTGGATGTGTTTGTCAGTTGAAGATAGCTTCTGGGTTAGAGATGGAGATTTGTGTCTGCTTGGCCTCTATGTGATGGAACCCCGTTTGGCTTGGACCTGTGCAGTTCTCACATACGCTTCCACAGTATCTGTGAGTTCATATGTGTGTCAGTCCTGCTGTATGTGGTGGTATTTTGTTTGTGCTCTAAAACATAAAATTTGCCTGAAGATCAGAGGGTGGTGTTAGCCACTAGTTAACATAGAGGCCAGTCAGTGCGGCACACACCTTTAATTCCAGCACTTGGGAGACAGAAGTAGAAAGATCCTTGGTGTCTTTCATCCCTACTGTTTTTTGTTTGTTTGTTTGTTTTTTTGAGAAAGGGATTCTATATAGCTTCAGGGCCTGTCCTGGAACTCGCTCCATAGATCAGGCTGGTCTTGAACTCACAGAGCCTCATGCCTCAGCCTCTTGAGTGCTGGGTTTAAAGGCGTTGACCACCATCGTTCTCTGACTCTTTTGCCTCCTTTTATGCATAACTTCTGATCCAGGATGGGAGAGATTAGATGAAGACCACCTATTTAGTGCTGAGTGTTCCAAGGTCTCTCATCTTCTACACACTGTCCAGTGGTGGTACTCTGCATTAGTTCCCATCAACCATTCTCTGATGAGGGCTAAGTGGGTATAGCACAATGTCATTAGGTGTCATTTTATTGCTATGTTCATTTAGTAGAACATGGTTTTCCCCTGGCCTATCTTCTTTCAGGTTCTGGGATACCCAAGTAGTTTCAGGCAGGCACGGGTCCACCTCAAGGAGTGGGCCTTCAGTCCAATCAGAAAATGGTTGGTTACTCTGGCAACTTTTTTTTTTTTTATGGTGAAAAAGTGTATATTTAGAATTAGCCGGCTGGGCTCAGTTTAGATGATTCCAATTTTGTTGGCAACATCCAGAGCATCATAATCAGGAGCCAACCGAACATATGCCTTCTTCTCTCCATCGGGCCTTATGAGGGTGTTGACTTTGGCCACATCAATGTCGTAGAGTTTCTTCACAGCCTGTTTGATCTGATGCTTGTTGGCCTTGACATCCACAATGAACACCAGTGTGTTGTTGTCTTCTATCTTCTTCATGGCTGACTCGGTGGTCAGGGGGAATTTGATGATGGCATAGTGGTCAAGCTTGTTCCTCCTGGGCGCGCTCTTTCGGGGGTATTTAGGCTGCCTTCGTAGCCGCAGAGTCTTGGGCCGTCGAAAAGTGGGCGATGTGCGGATTTTCTTCTTTTTGTGGCTGTGGACGCCTTTCAGCACTGCCTTCTTGGCTTTCAAGGCCTTCGCTTTAGCTTCGGCTTTGGGAGGGGCAGGAGCTTCCTTCTTCGCTTTAGGCGCCATCTTGACGAAAAGCCTCTGGCAACTTTTGTGCTGCTAGTGCATTAGCATATCTTTCAGAGAGTTTACCAATATAGTTTACAAAGTTTGTGATCTACAATATTTGGTCTTCTCATTTCTTGTAGTGAACAGAGTACTTCCCAGTACTGTGAACACTAGTCAGCAGGGGCGAAGGCTCTAGGCCTTCATGTTCAACAAGATATGATGGTATTGTCTGCAGCAACTGGGCTTTATAGTCAGTTTATAGAGAGCAACCAATAGTCTGTGCAATAGCTTGAGTTGTTTTGGGGTTTTCATGTGGACCATTTGGCAAGAAACTCTATTAGATATAACCCATTACTTGTACTAGAGATTTTACCTGGTTGCAAGAGAGGTCAGGTTTTGTTTTTGCCCTCTTTGTTACTTGGTGATCCCATTTAAGTTCATATATCTATATATTTTAAGAAGCTTCTGTATTGGAGTGACTAACCGTGGGACTTAGGCTGGGAAATTGGGTAACATAAAAATCAGTTAACACTGATATCAGAGGCTGATTGCAATCTTGTGTGAAATCAGCAGATTGGTCATCCCTATATAATGAAGACATTCCCTCCCTTAAAAAACTTTGGATCCCAATCCTTGAACCGGACAAAGAGGGAGGAGGAGAGGGAGGGGGGGAGTGGGAGGGCGTTGGGAGGAGGGGCGTAAATGGAAACTTTTTATAATTTAATAAAATTACTTTCAAAAAAAAAACTTTGGAAATTGAAATTTAGGTATTATGCCAGCTGGCAATACTGTATGTGTTCTCACACACTGATGCTGATAATGTAACATGTCCTGAAGACAATAAATGTTTTACATTTGGACGGGAACTTCAAAAAAAAATTACCTCATAGTCTTTTTTCATTGGCTAATAACAAATTGTACCTTTTTGATAAATTGCAACTCCCAAGTTAATAGCCTTCACTGAGTTCCCATGAGTCTCCAAGAGAGCTAACATAACCAAGGGTTCCTGAGTTTTTAATTTGTGCTCAAAGGGAGGGTGATTCCTTTCAACTTTGTAGTTGATCTCTCTATGTGTTTGGTATTATAAGTGATGGATGACCTCTGTGGTTTGGATTCTTCAAATTTGCACTTTGACTGGGTGTATATTATTCCAATAGAAACAAGTTAATTTGTATTAACAACATATTTTTTGAACAGTATATCCCATATTCTAATTCAACAGGAAATCAATTTGAATTATTACTAAGCCATCATATATATTCTCATATTAAGTCTACCGGCTACTGGAATGGCAAGATACACCTTGCTTGAAAACAGTTCTAACAGAATCCACTTATTGGCATTTGTCAACAAGCTGCTCATTTACCATAAGAACCCCAGAGGCTAAGGCAGATTGAAGAGCATTCAGTACAAAGTGAAGAATACAGAAATCTTCTTACTTCCATCAAGTCCATATGTTAAATATACTTGAACCTCATGGCAAAGATGGCATTGTATGATGTTAGGGATGGAGGAAATCAGATTACCTCCCACTGTGGTTGTTTAGTTTAATATTGTATGCAGTGTAATTGTTTGGCATTTGTTTCAGGCAAGGTGCTATTTCCTTTTTCTTCTTTCCTCCCTTAACTGCTTTCTTTCCCCGCATCTCTTTCTTCCTACCCTTTTCTCATCCTTCTTCAGTGACTTCTTCTTTTCTCCATATAATTATAATTATATATAATATATTTGCATATATATATATATATATACACATGCTAATTTTTTCTATTCACCATAACCCCACACTAAGCAAATATTTGAAAACGTCTGGTAATTTTTAGCTAGCGCATTTTGAGATGATGGTATTACTGGACTATTGTATAGAAGTCAGTGATATTTCTAAAAGTTCTATGACACTATTAATTGCCGTGCACAGATAACTCACAATATTAACAGTGTTGGTGACAAGAACACTTATTGTAAAGTGGAGGGAAGAAAGGCGCAAATTTCTAGGCATAATTTTGATTAAGAAGATAAACTTAAAAACTACAACGAGGGGCTGAATATGTAGCTTAGACTATAGCTTGTTTTATTTAGCATATGCAAAGCTTGGATTCAATACATAAGGCATAGTAGTGGATGTCTGTAGTCCAAAAACATAGGAGGAGGAGACAGAAGATCAAATTTTCAAGGTCATCCTCAACTGCATAATGAATTTGAAGCCAGTCTCACCTACATGAGAATTTGTCTGTCCGCGTCTCTCCTGTTTCTCTTATATACCTATATATACATCTCCAGGGAAAGCATTATTGAAGAATAGCATAAAACTAATACTCCAGTATTATCTTAATTATCATAAGCATTGTATACATTTTTATCCACAACTTTTGCAACCTATGAAACAGACAATAGTATTATCTTCATTTTATGAATGATGAAACCAAGATCCTTGCCTCTCATCTGACACTGTAAAGCGGTAGAGCTAGCATGCTATAATAATAAGACATGGCTATTTTTAGAAAATAAAAAAGATAAGATAAAGATACGAGAAATATACGTTAACCAATGCAAAAGCAAACAAAAACCAGAATTAATATTGCTTCCTCCTTTTCTGTGAAGAAATAGTATCTTTATATTTAATTGGAATACCAGTTACCAATGAAGAATGACAGAAAAAATTCTTTTGGGGAAACCAAGTCTTCTCAGCCTTCCCAAGGACAGGGCAGATGTGTTCACCAGTTGACCTCTTGAGGTTGAACCTTCAACTGATGACTGGCAAGAGTTTCTACAGGATGCCCACAGCCCCTTGGTTCTGAAAAGTGTACTCTGTGTAGCTGCTATAGTCTTTAGCAGTCTAAACTACTGAAATATCTTGATTCAGGTAATCTGTATTATGAGAAAGATGAAAGTTTAGAATGATATTACTAAATTGTAAGAAATATGCAAGAATATGTAGAGTATTTTAAGTAAGAACAATGATAATTTTATTCAGGAACCAAAGTTTCTTTAACGTAATTAGACAAGGTTCTAATATGAAGTATAAATTAATAGTTTGTGAGTGTTTAAAAAATAAAATAAAAGGCTAGAGAGATGGCTCATTAATTAAGAGTAGCTGCTGCTCTTAAAGTCCTGATTTCAGTTCCCAGAACCCACACTGAGAGGCTTAAAAACATTTATGACTCTGGTTCCAAGATATCTGATGCTTGGCACACATACAGCATTCACTCACATAGACACACAAGCATATAAATAAAAATAAATCTCAAGTAAAATGAAATTGAAGTCATATAGAGTCTTTAAGGGGTCTTTAACTTTTCCTAGTATATCTGTAACTATACAATGTTAAATACAAAAACAAAAATGTTCTTTCCATACAAAGACAATTTAGTCATGGTAGTCAAGTCTCGGGCTGTTACAGTTTCTAAATGATACTATGAAAATTATATATACTTAGTATATTTACTTGTCTTTGAAATTTTTCACAGCAGAATTGCAGCATGAGAATTAATTAGATGGGTGAGGTTAAACATAAAACAAACAAAAAAGAACTGAAAAGTGTGCAGTTCAGTTTCCTGGCAGATTTGCAAGTTTCTCATTGCACCAGGTTTCTGGGTTAAATACTAATACTTCATCCTGTAAATCAAAATTCAAATCAACAAAACAAGTGAACCCTCCAAACAATTAAGAAGTTCATTTGAAAATAACTTCATTTCATTGCTCCATTGATTAGATACTGTTATGCCCAAATCTGCGGGGTCCCCACAAAAGCCAACAAAGGAGACCAAGTCCCACATGTAAAAGCAAAGAGCCTTTATTTTTTTATCAAGTTTGCAAACTCGGTCTCTCCGCATGTCCAATGTATTGGAATAACCAGAGAGCCCTGAGCTCAATTAGAATTGGGGTTTTATAGTAGTAAAGGTGGGAGTGAGGGGTCTCTGAGGTTCAGAACCCCTTATTGGCTGATATTTGTCTAGGAGTGTTCTGGTGAAGTGCTGGCAGGTGTTTCTATCTACAGTGCTTGGAATGTCAGGAATTTACTTTGAATGGTCTGCTCTTGAGTCAGGGCTCAGATAATCTCAGCCTGCCAGGCATTGTGTCAGGGTAAACTGCTGAGACTCTAGACTCCATTTAAATTTGTTGATGGCCAGAGTCCCAGGTGATAATGGTTGGAAGTAAAGAACTTCCTTTGGGTGACCTGCCCAGACTTAGATTATCATGGCTGGCCCCACAATATAACTTGCTGTGGACTAAATGGCCAAACACAATAAATGAAAATGACTATGCAAACTCTTATGTTGTTTTGGAATCATTTCCCTGTTTTTAAGTATGTTAACTTAAGGATACAAATATGAAATTTTTGAAGTCATGCGATTTAGTTTAAATGTAATTGGCCCCCATATGCTCATTAGGAGGTATGGCATTGTGGAAGTAGGTTTGGCCTTCTTGGAAGACTGCAGCACTGGGTGGGCTTTGAAGTCTTTTTGGCTCAAGTTTCCCTCAATATGACATGGAGACCACTTCCTGTTGCCTGCAAGGTGTGGGATTCTCAGCTCTTTCTTCAGCACCACACCTGCCTGCATGCCACCATGTTCTACCCTGATGACAAAGGATTGAACCTCTGAACTAGAAGAGAATCACCCTAGTTAAATGTTTTATTTTGTAAGAGTAACTATGGTCATGGTGTCTCTTCACAACAATAGAAACCTTAGCTAAGACACCCGTAAGTGTATGACTATGATTAATATTTCTAGTATATTAATGATTGGCAGGTCTGGTGACAGAAATCATGAACAAAAAAGTATTTAATTCTACTTTTATTTTTGTGCTGATTTTAAACCCAGTTTAGGCAAATTCACTTTTTGTTGAATTATGAGGACATTTCTGTGATTAATTATATAGATTTTAGAGTACTAATAAGTCCCCTTTTAATATTAAAATATTAATCTATTTTTTAAAATGATACAGAGTTCTCATATTTACTCAGACATATCCCAAAACAACAGATCTAATGGGGTAGGGGGAACATAGTTCTCATGGGTACATTGTATATTC